GACACTGCTGTGTGTCGCATGTGCTTGCTGAGGTGACACGCAGTGTGCCCGGGGTTTTTGGCCCCTGCCCTCTAAGTCTCTGCCTGTGCTCTAGCTACGCCCCTTTTCCTGGTGGTGTGGGTAGCACAGGTTGCTGTACAGACCATGGAGCACCTCCTTGCTTCTCCACTGGGCACATTCCCTTGTACTGGTCTACACCACACTTCCTGGAGAGTGAGTGGGTGACGTCGTAGTCCTGCGCTTTGGTGCTGGGTGTGGAAGGAAAGGCAGGCGGGTGTCCTAGGAGTCAGAAGGTGCGGCTGTTCCTCAGAGTTGTTTGGGTCAAGTACAGGTGGGAGTCGCCTGGCAGGTTTAGTGAGTGGGTGCTGTGAACAGCACGCATGGCAATGGATTCTGCAGCGGGAGGTGCACTGTGAGCTGGGGACGGGTTGAGGTCTGCGTGGCTGGGGCTTGAGGAGCCCAGAGCAGACAGCAGGGAAGCCGGCCAGTGAGGCTGGGGTAAGACCCGGGGCCGGCAGAGCACAGCGGGTTTCACCCTCGCCTTTTACTACTCCAGGGCAGGGTTTGCTCACACACGTTCATGCCCGTGTGGGCAGTTAGGTCCCTGGTCTCGCCTCACCCTCCTGCACTGTACAGAGTGCTGGCCTCATGTCACAGAGTAGGACACTGGCGCTCGGAGGACACCAGATCCCCAAGGCCAGGACAGGAGTCTACCCCGCCAGAGTCCTGGCCTGTGACTCTGCTCCACAGAGGTGCATTCTGTGACAAGGATGGCCTGTGGGCCAGGGGACATGGTGGGTAGTAGTTGTGAGTCCATCCTAGTAGCATGAAAGAGAGCTTGAACTCGTGAGTTAACTAATTCAGGGATCAAAGGGAAGGTGTACTTAATCAATATTGTAAAGCTGAGCAAAATTGTGCTTAAAAAACAACTTTGAGACAAGACAAAGGGTCTCCAAGAGTACTGAGAAATAGCAATGATTAATTTGTTATATCACCCCTCTGATAGTTGAGGGTTTTGGCACGTGCTGAGGAAAGTGGTTATATCCATGTGGTTCCTCTAATCGTGTTATTACAGAACTGTCATAGTCTTATAAGTCACATGCTGATATATGTGTGCGGGGTGTCGCCTCAGGCATTGGCATTGCAGGGTTACCCGTGTGTGAGGTCAGCGAGCAGTCTCAAGCTCTTCCTGGAGTTTAGCCACGGGCAGTCTGGTCCTCAGCAATGAGTGGCTTGGGAAGGAATGGAGAGAATCTGTTCCTCACTGCTCAGGCTGCTTATGTCATCCTGTGTGATCTGCTACGTCCTTTCCTCCTTTTACTTTGCTATAATATCCATTTGCAGGCAACTCTCTTCTCTTCTTTGCTTCTCTTCTCCCCACCTCCCCTCCTCTCCTCTGTTTTTTCTCTTTTCTTGCAGTGCTGAGGGTGGAAGCCAGGGCTTTCACAATGAGCTATATCCCCAGCGCTTTAAAAAATTTTTATTTTGAGAGAGGGTCAAGCCAAGGGTCTAAGTTGTCTAGGCTGTGCTTGAATTCTGACATTTTGAATTGAAAAAATGATGTCAATAAAAACTGAAGGGAACCTCCTTCCTGGTTCTTTCTATCTTCTGTTTACCTTCCAGGTGCAGGGGAGCCTGTGGCCAGCAGTCCAGGTCTGACACATGGTGGGGCGATGAGGCTGTCACGCCCTGACATTCTCTACCTTGGCCTTTTCTTTTATGTCTGAAGTGTTATTTCCTAAACCTGCATCTTCATTGTCAAAGACTTGGCCCAAAGTGCTCTGGCTTCTCGCCAATGAGACTTCCTCTCCAGGGTGGGTGACCAAGCAAGGGCTATGTGGTGGACCAATGGCAGTGCCCTCCCTGGGTTCGTTCTGATGGGCTTCTCCGACCGGCCGCAGCTGGAGCAGGTTCTCTTTGGGGTGATCTTGCTCCTTTACCTCACGACCCTGGTGGGCAACACCACCATCATCGTAATGACCCTCTCGGATGCTAAGCTCCGCACACCTATGTACTTCTTCCTCTCCCATCTGTCCTTCCTGGACCTCTGCTTCACCAGCAGTATCGTCCCCCAGCTCCTCGTCAACCTGGGGGGTGCAGATAAGTCCATCTCCTACGGAGGCTGTGTGGTCCAGCTCTACGTGTCCCTTGCGCTGGGCTCCACAGAGTGCGTCCTCCTGGCTGTGATGTCCTACGACCGCTATGTCGCCGTCTGCCGTCCTCTGCACTACGCCTCCGTCATGCACCCTCGGCTCTGTCACGCCCTGGCATCCCTGGCATGGCTCAGCGGTGTGGCCACCACCCTGGTGCAGTCCACACTCACCCTGCAGCTGCCCCTCTGTGGGCACTGTCTCGTAGACCACTTCTTCTGCGAGGTCCCGGTGCTCCTCAAGCTGGCCTGTGTGGACACCACCTTCAACGAGGCTGAGCTCTTCGTGGCCAGCGTCCTGTTCCTCCTGGTGCCCGTCTCCTTCATCCTGGGCTCCTATGGCCTCATTGCCCGGGCGGTGCTGAGCATCTCTTCCGGTGAGGGCAGGCGGAAGGCCTTTGGCACCTGCTCGTCCCACCTGCTGGTGGTCGTCATCTTCTACGGCACCATCATCTTCATGTACCTGCAGCCGGCCAAGAGCCGCTCGAAGGACCAGGGCAAGTTTGTTTCCCTCTTCTACACAGTGGTGACGCCTGTGCTCAACCCTCTCATTTACACCCTGAGGAACAAGGAGATGAAGATGGCGCTGAAGAGAGTCCTGGGGACAGCTTCTTGGGGGGCTTTCTGATTGTCAAGAGACCTGCAGGAGAGACCTCGAGGAGCAACTGCCTTTCTAACCGGTAGTGGGTCCGTCCATGATGAGTCACACAGGTGGGCTCAGGAGAGAAGTTGGAGGACAGCTTGGGTCTCACAGTTAGACACCCTGAGACCTGACCATGTGGCATGACCTTCTCCATCTTCAGATACTGCTGCATGGTATTAAACTGCAGAAACTAAAATGAGGTCATGGTTCTGTTTAAGTTTGTTCTGTTTAATGGCCTTGGCCACAGGCTGGATGTCTATGGTCATGCTTTCACTTTTTGCAGAGATTGGAGTATTCCAGTCAGTTGACCGAACAGAAAGCAGGATTCTCCACCTCTGCGGCACTGGTCTTTCCCCGTGCCAGGGGTTCCTGTCTCAGCCCAGTGGCCCCGGGCTGCCCTCCCTGTGGGTGGCCGGCCCTTCCTCCTTCTCTTAGCTGCTCCTGGCATTGTGTATTTCTCTCCTCACTGTGGTTTAGAGAACAGCAATTGTGCCGTGGTGCAGTCTCTTCCTTGAATAAGTCTGTGCACAGGCCACTCCTGTATTTACGGTGCAGCATGGACTGTTCCTAGTTTATCTTCACAGTGAGCTACACTGTGCTTGCGTGCTCTGCCTGCACACAGTGCAGACAGCCTCAGAATTAACACGCACAGCTGAGCCCCAGGCTGCTGCTCTCTGCTTCCTCCTTCCCACTCTCCGCATTAGGAGATGAATGTCACTCTGTCCTCTGTCCTCTCTGTCACCTGCTGCGTGTCACCAGTGACAATGTGGGACTGCACCTTCTGGTTGCTCTCCATGTTGCCCACTTCTCTCCACTCTACTCTTTCTATCTTGTTTTCTTGTGTGTTTTGTAGTACTGGGATGGAACCCAAGGCTTTTACACTTGACCACATCCCCAGCCCTTTTTGATTTTATATATATATATGGAGAGGGAGGGAGACAGAAAGAGATTGAAAGGATCTTGCTAAATTGCTAAATTGCCCAGGCTGGACTTGAACCTGCAGTCTCCATCTCAGACTCCATAAGTGCGGGGATTTCAATCCCAGTCCTCCGCGCCTGCCTTCCACCAGCCTTTCCCACATCCCCGTGCAGTGCTGCCCGGCCTTCCTGCCTGGAGGGGATACTGATCACGGACTCAGTCGCTCCTGTTCTTTTACCCTCTTCTTTGATTCATTATCAAGTGTGTGCAATTTCTAACACACCTTGGGATTTTTCTCTGAGTTAATACATCACGGAACTGTTCTTTCTTTTTTTAATATTAAAGAAAACAAAAAACCCAATAAAAACAATGGTGTAAAGTTTTAAAAAGAAGTGATACTTTTATGCAGTCTTCGAGGTGCGGAGGGGGCGCATTTTAAGGAAGAGCAGCTCCAGCCTCGCGGGGTTTCTGTGCTCAGGGTCTCCTCAGCTTTTGGCGGATGTTCACCGTAATGATGTTCATTACCAAGTGACAGAAATCACTGTTATGGAGAAGACTCATCTTTGGCAAATGATTTGTAAAATTTATATCGATCAAACTCTTAGATTAATAGATATAAGCTTCGCTTTCATTTGAGTTTTTGTATTTCAAATCGATATACTTGTAAGGTAACATTATCTACGCAGGGGCACATCACCCTGAACAAGGCTGATAGTGTTTTTTATTTGCTAAGTTATGAGTGTATTAGTGTGTTAGGGGTGGGTTTTAAAGGAGCTGCCGTCTTGTAATGGGGTCAAAGCTTCTCCAAGCGGGATGATCGGCTTAGGTAACGCCAAGGACATTTCCTTTAAGGTTACAGGGATATCCAGAGGCTGTGTGCCTGTGACACAGCGGTGTGGCTGGACACAGAGTGACCCTGCCCATGCTGACCCTGAACCAGAAACAAAACGGGACAGTGTGACCTGTACAAAACAGAACAGAAAGGAGCCTGGGCTCGTCAGGCAGGGTAATGATTAGGGAATTGTTCATAGGTGATTAGGTGATCCAAGGAGGAAGAAGACGCCTATTTTGAGTAACAATAAAGCAAAACTTAAGTTTCACTTCTTTAAAAATTCACAACTTAAATTTATTTTGTAGTTCATACATAAAAATGCAAAGTTATACATGGGGTGTATAATTTTTATACAAAATTTATTTTGTAATGGCTACATAAAAATGCAAAGTTATATGAATGGGGTGCCATGTGACTGGATAGTTTTTACTTCTGTAACCAGCTAAAGAATATAACAGTGAACAGGAGGTTAGGATAGAATCATTCATTTGCACAGCACCCAGGCTCTGCCTTGGTCTGTCCCCTCGGCCTCCGTCAGAGTCTCCCGGGCTCCAAGCCCAGGGCTCCATGGTGAGGCTGCTGTGGGTGGCTCTTGCATGATACCATGTGTCTGCTGCGTGTACCAGCCCCACAGTTTAGCGACCGGGAAGAGTTTAATTGCCAAGTATTTGGGAAGCTGCCAAGCTCACAGCACCTTCCTACCTGAGTCCTTGGGGACAGGCAGAAATGGTGATGTGGGGCATTTTCCACAAAAGTTCCTGGCGTTTCCTGTGTTACTGGGGTTTCGACAATCACATATTCTCCACAGAGGGTCGACGGAATCCCCAGCCTTCTGCGCTGTGACGATGCCCTGTTAACCAGCATGAGCCTCCTTCCTACAGCTGTGCCTCACGTGGAGGACCGCTGGACTTCCCACCCTTACGTTCTTGTTCTTAGGGCCGGGGACACAGGTGTGGCTCACTTCAGCCTTTGTTTGGAAGCCACATCGCCCTCCCCAGGGCTGGGAACTGCACTCACGTGGCAGCACAGGCGGTACCCAGGAGCGGGTCATGTACCTGCAGCCGGCCAAGAGCCACCCCGAGGACCAGGGCAAGTTTGTTTCCCTCTTCCACAGCGTGTGAGCCCTCTGTGACACTGCTGCCACAGCCAGGGGACCCCGAGGTAGATGTCGGTTTGGGGCTAGAGGTCTCCGCAGAGTCTTCGGGTGGGGTAAGGGCAACTGTCGCTGTCACACACCGGCTGCCAGTGAGGAGTGTAACCTCCCCATCTTTAGCTTGTCCTTCTGAGCAGCGCCCACGACTATGAGATCTTCATGGGGAAAAGCTACTCATGTCCACACTGGTCACTGCAGCCGGCGCTGAGGTGGAGAAGGAGGACGGAAGGCCCCCTCCCCGCTGGAAACAGGTAGGGCAGCAGTGGTGACAGGCTGGGCCCCGCGGCTGTCAGTGTTGTCACCTGTAAGCACCAGCATCAGGGAACTGGACAGAAGCGTGAGGTCTGCGTATGTCTAGGCAGTCCTTCCATGTTGTCTCTGTTTCAGAACCTTTCTTCTCGTTCAGTGTTGTGATCTTTCCTTCCTTTCTGCTCCCAACATCAGATCCCCCAAGGGTAGCTAAGAATGAGTTTAAATTAATTTTCCTTGCATTTTCTATATTGGTAAAATTAAAGCCCAAACCTTTTAGTGCAAAGCTTCTCTGCAGGCTGCGCATCTCTGAAACACCCAGCTGTGGTCTGGAGCCCATCCAACCGGGATAACGGGGCATGAACTGCATCATCCACTCAGGGCACTGACTGGTCAGGGACTCAGCGCCAGAGCAGGTGGACAAACCTGGCCTCTGCTCCCTCTCACCTGTGGCCTTGGGCTCCTGGTCCGGCCCAGCTGCAGTGACCCCTAAGGTGGTGAAAGCTGCCTGTAGGGCCCATCCCTCTCCTCCTCCCTCCTGGAAGCCCGGGATCTCCCTCACCAAGAGTGAGACATTGGGATCAACTTGCACTTTTAAGTCTTTTAGTTTAGTCTTTTCAACAGGCAGGATTGATTGGCAAACACCCTTAATCCCAGCATCACATCCTTGATCCTAGCATCACACACTCTAGACCCCGCCACCTACGACTGCGTGAGGCTCTGGGGGGACATCTAGACACAAGCCATGATGGTGGCCTTCCTTTCTGATGTGATAAGAAGAACAACGGGGGGCTGCGACCTCAGAACCTGCATCTCAGGAGCTTCCAGCCCAGCTGGAGCAGGGTAGGCAAGGAGACTCCAGGAGGGTAGGAGCTGTAGGGACATCAGCTACTCCAGGAGGACACCCGCAGTGCTGTGTCCCCTGCTGGAGACACCCTAACACAGCATGCATCATGGTGGTCTCCTATTCTGTAGGTGGACAGCTGTAGTCTGCACAGATGCGAGGCTCCATGAGGTGGGAGGGTGCTTTTGCTCTGATGTTTTTCTCCTTGAGTTTTACCATTTCATATCACTTCATTAAATTTTTCTTACTTTAACTTAAAATTTTGATGATGATGTTTTGCCATTCAGATATTCTGGTTTTGCAATAAAAGTACAAATTGTTTTCTATGTATGTTAATTCGTTCCTTTCTATGGAAATCTCTATATGAAGTAAATTCTATTAGTACACTCCTGAAATAGTGCCAAAATTTGCCATAATTCCTAATTGTGGATTATTATTATTATTATTCTACTTTTTTGTGGTACTGGGGATTGAACATAGGGCCTTCATACTGAGATGCTTCCTCAGCCCTTTTTATTTGTTTTTTTGTTTTGAAATAGTTTAATTGCCCAGGATAGGCCTGAGGGCAGGAGATCCGGCCTTTGTCTCCCAGATGCTGGAATGACAGGTGAGTGCCACCAGTAGGGCTTGTAGCAGGTTCGCATGAATCTGCTCTTGGTCTGTGTGTCCAAGCCAGGCGCTGTCTGCACGTGGACCAAGTCCTGCCCAAAGACCTGACAGAGCTGCTGTGGACAGTGTGGGCAGCTGCTGGTCTCCACCTCTACTCACGTGTGCACCCCAATATTAGAGAGGTGCACATGGAGGGGAGGCGTCCAGATGCATAGAAGAACCACAACGTTTGAGGCAGCTTTAGCTGAGAAAGAGATTAGTGAAGCTTTTTTATACCAGAATTTTACACTGATTCATCAGCTCATTTCCCAGGTGCCTACTAGGGGACAACTGCGTTTCTCCATCTTGGGCAACAAAAGAGGTAGAAAAACAGATGGCAGCTGAAAGAGAGGCTCTTGAGAGGTTGAGGATTAGCGAGGCTGTCCGTACATGGCCCTGGTTTTGTGAATCTCACAAGCTGTTCTGAATGGACACACATCCAACTTAGTCACAAGCGCAGAACACAAAACACAACTAACATTAACCGCTTATCAAGTTGCAGGGAGTTAGGGCCAAAGGCTACAGGAGCATGTATTAGCACGGCACTTCAGTTCCCTGGGGATTGGGCCCAGGCCCTCACTCTGTGCTCTACCGCTGAGCTGAGGTCCCCAGCACATTAAGGACTATTTGTACTAAGGAGCTGTTTGTGAAAAGGCAGAGGACATAGCTGTGTTCAACCCCCAGTACCACAAAAACTAACAGTGGTGGTAATAATAATAACCCACAATTAGCAATTCTGGCAAATGTCAGTACTGTTTCAGCGGCTTATTGGTAGAACTCACTTCCTTGGTGACTGAGGGACCATAGGAAGGGCTGGCCTTTTTATAAGAAGCTACAATCAGCGTTTTCCTGAGTGGTAGTGTTTAGTGAACAAGATACAGTGTTTATGCGGGGATAAAACCAGATATCACCCTTACTTGGGAATAAGCATCTCCTTAATGATGCGCTCCCAGCAACAGGAGCCGCATGTCAGGGCAACATGTCGAGCTCAGGTTAAAGAGCAAGTGATCAGGAAGCAGAGAGCTAAAGTCCTGGAGACAGTGTTCTTTATTAAAACCAGTTCAAAGGCTAGGAACACCCTGGGCACCTGTGAATGGAGGGAAACAAAATATACAGACAAACAAGGACGAAAGGCGGGGAAGAAAGCTAGAGCATGGGTGGCACTGGGATGTCAGAAGAAGCAGATTCACGTGTTTATGGCTTGCTATGGGGCTTTGTTTAGATCCCACGAATGCTCCGGGGTTAGCTTTAACTTGTGACAGTCACATCTGAGATATTTCAGTCGTGGACCTTTGTAACTAATTTCCACATTTGGAGGATGATTAAATATGAATTTTCTTATTTCACTGAAAATTGCTGAAGGAATACCTCAGGTTTCCATTTCTAGTTGGAATTATCTGAGTTTCTCCTTTTCTACAGTTTGAAAGAGAGTGGTTTCCAGAAGTAAATTTGGTCAGGTGGAAAGGACGATATAACTTATTTCCAACAGGAGGTGAGGGTATTTTTAAAGACACACCCGTTGCTGTTCTCTGCACCATTGGTCAGTCAGGTGTTCTGAGGGCCGGCAGTGCTCATGTAGAATACACACATCAGGAAGGCAATCTCACTCACACACTGTAGGATGTAGCTTCTCAGTGTGTGACGCACAATGCTCCTTTTGTAGGTAACCTTGTCACTTCCTGGCCCCTGTGCAACATGGCATCTTCCTCAGCTGACCCTGGCCTTCCGGAACATGCTTACTACCTGAGGATGGTGAGGTGGACCAACAAGAGCAGTGTGACGGGGTTCATCCTGATAGGCTTCTCTGGCCTTCCGCAGTTAAGGGAAGCTCTATTTGTGGTCATCTTGGTCTTATACCTACTAACCATTTTGGGGAACACGGCTATCATTCTAGTATCTTGCCTGGAGCCCAAGCTGCACATGCCCATGTACTTCTTCCTCTCCCATCTGTCCTTCCTGGACCTCTGCTTCACCAGCAGTGTTGTCCCCCAGCTCCTCGTCAACCTGGGGGGTGCAGATAAGTCCATCTCCTACGGAGGCTGTGTGGTCCAGCTCTACGTATCCCTTGCACTGGGCTCCACAGAGTGTGTTCTCCTGGCTGTGATGTCCTACGACCGCTATGTCGCCGTCTGCCGTCCTCTGCACTATGCTTCCATCATGCATCCTCGGCTCTGTCATGCCCTGGCATCCCTGGCATGGCTCAGTGGTGTGGCCACCACCCTGGTGCAGTCCACACTCACCCTGCAGCTGCCCCTCTGTGGGCACCGCCACGTGGACCACTTCATCTGCGAGGTCCCGGTGCTCCTCAAGCTGGCCTGTGTGGACACCACCTTCAACGAGGCTGAGCTCTTCGTGGCCAGCGTCCTGTTCCTCCTGGTGCCCGTCTCCTTCATCCTGGGCTCCTATGGCCTCATTGCCCGGGCGGTGCTGAGCATCTCTTCCGGGGAGGGCAGGCGGAAGGCCTTTGGCACCTGCTCGTCCCACCTGCTGGTGGTCGTCATCTTCTACGGCACCATCATCTTCATGTACCTGCAGCCGGCCAAGAGCCGCTCGAAGGACCAGGGCAAGTTTGTTTCCCTCTTCTACACAGTGGTGACGCCTGTGCTCAACCCCCTCATTTACACCCTGAGGAACAAGGAGGTGAAAGGGGCCTTGAAAAGGGCCCTGAGAATGTCTGGGGAGTAAATTCCACATGATCATAATGACAACTAAAGTAGTGCAGTGGTGGGCATCTTCTTGTGTGGAGAAGAACACATGACTTTGCCATTGCTTGCCAATCCTGCAAGGGGGTACTTCTGCTAACCTGTGTTTGTGGTCCTTTCTGTAAAGCACACCATGGCATTCATCAGATTTATTTTAAATCAATGTTTGGCCAGACTAAGTTGAGCTTGGGAGACCAGTCACCTCTTTTTCTGTTGCTTGGAGGTGGCAGAGTGTGTCTGAGCTTTCCTGTCTCTTTGGATGGGCACAGGCTCATTTGTTTTCAGAGCTGTAGTGAGGTGGATGTGAGTTGGGCGAACTGTCAGGGACCCGAGTTCCAGTTCCTTGCCTGGTCCCGAGGACTGGGTTGCACAGAGGAGCAGCGGCTGCTCACGGTGGGTGAGCCCCGAAGCCATGCGGTTGGCCTCCTTGTGCAGCAGGTCCTGGGAGCCAGTTTGAGCATTCGGTCCAACAAGACCTTGGGCTGCTTCCTAAGGAAAAGTACTGTTGCATAATTTCCTGTGGCTCCATGAGGTGTAAGCCGCAGCTCCTTTTCTCGTTATTGTAACTCTCTATTTCTATTACAGAACATGTGTTTTCATACCTTTGGATTTATCTTTCAGGTAAAGCCTTAACCAAACTGATTAAACTATTTTCACCAACACACTGTTCTTTGTTTCACATGGGTTATCATGCTGAGCCTTTGCCTACACCATTTCATTTTTGGAAGTGAATAAAGTTTGTACCTTGACTCTTGGAAAGGTGCACGGACACATAGTTTTATAACTGTGATATTTCCTAGTTCTCTTCAGTAGAGCAAGTGTTAGATCATACACTCCATAGTATAAAACAATGCCCTGCACTTAAACCCAACATCAAAATAAACCAATGAATTCACTGGCATGAGGGATGGTCTTAAAGACCCAACCGTGTTAACAGCTCAACTACAGAGTAAGAGGTCAAGCATGGAACTGTGATTGGGAGGCAGAGGTGTGATCAGGAAGACGGCGCCTGGCTCCTCACCCTTCAGCACTAGGAGTGTCCATCTCTCACCCGTTTGTTGATTTGCTTATTGCATTGTTGGTGTGCAAAGTGCTGTACTCGTTACTAAGCACAGAAACTAAACAAGGAGGAAACATGACAGGTTCAATGTAAGCTCCTTGCTATTAGGAAAGACGGATCAAAAAGCAAGACACACACTGTGAGATGATGGAGAAAATGAAGCTGGGATGAGGATGATGCCGGAAACTTGGCTGTGGCCCTGGCAACCTAGGACGGTGCTGGACAGAGAAGAGAAGAGACACTGGTGAGCACATGGCCCGGGGCAGGGGACCCGGGCATCACACGGGAGACCCAGGCACCAGGCAGCACGGACCATGTCAGGGGAGGGCGCAGGACCGTGGCTGCACCTTGGAGCCGTCTCCTTAGGTTCCGGTGCACAGGGACCTTTTCAGCATGATTTAAGCTAATTCTTGCCAAGGTAAATTTGTATGCTTTGGAATATATTTTGATTATAAATTTTTTTTATTTGAACAAAAACATTTTAATGAGGGTGTTTTGTAGAACCTATATGTCATAATTTTCTGACCAAACTACGAAGTTTCTTGCCCAGTATGACAGCACTGCTTTATATAGAAAACCTTCAGGTAATAAAGTCTGTCAATGTTTCTGAATCACCTGTAAAATTTGCTGTATTTGTTTTTATATCATTATCTGTAATCTGCAATTAGGATCTTTTTCTCTGATGCTTTTCAGTGTTATTCACAATCGCTGTTGAAGTTTCAAAGTGATTTTTTCCCCCCAGTACTAGAGATTGAATTCAGAACCTTCCCATTGAGCTCTATTCCCAGCCCTTTTAGTTTTATTTTGAGACAGGGTCTTGCTAAGTTGCTCAGCCTGGGCTCAAACTTTTGACCCTCCTGCCTCAGCCTCCTAGACTGCAGAGATTCCAGGTGTAATATACTCTTCATGATCTAACACTGTCACTCCTTTGAACTATGTCACAGTTTTGAGCTGTGTCCTGGCCTGCGAGAGCCTGCTTAGGACCCGGAGAGGTTGAGGAGGACCAAGCAGACCAGCTTGAGAAGGCTGGATCTGTTCAGCTCCTCTGACCGTCCCAGCTAAGAGCTCTGTGTGGTCATCCTGCTGTTTTTACTTCCTCACCACTGGGGGCTCTGCTAGCATTCTCATATCTTGCCTGGAACCCACGTTTCTACACTGGTGCATTTCTTCCTCTCCCGTTTCTCATCGCGGGCCCCTGCTCTGCCAGCAGTGTCCTTTGGTGGCCTCTCCTCCGCCTGGGGGGTGAAAACCTGCCCGTTGCCCTTGGCGGCCGTGTGGCTCAGCTGTGCCTCTCGTGCAGTGGCTGTGCTGAGTGTGTCCTCCTGGCTGTGAGGGAGGACCACGTTCACCCCCATGTTCACCCTGAGGGACAGGAAGGTCCTGGGAATAAAATTTGCAAGATTATAAAAATGTTGCTCAGAATAATTGTGTGATAAACACTTTTAACTAGGAAAATGCTTGGGACATTTTTCTGTTTTACTCATTACTTACATTATGTCTGACATGCTACAGACTGCTCTGGGGTGTGTCCAGTTTTGAAACTCAACACTGAACTCTAAATTTTCTCTATGACTGGCAAACACACACAGTTAATAACCTTTATTATAACCCTGAATTTTTCACATATAGAAGTATCTATTTGTAATCTTGAGAATTATCATCCAGACAAAAGCTTTATCTAATCCTTTTTAATGTTAGTACTAAAACAGTCATCTTCATTCAGCATCTCATCTGTGAAATTTCATCTCATCCTGTGAAATTTCTTCTCTGAGAACCACAACGTTCTGTATCTTGATTCTGGGAAACTTTATATGAAGACTTGGTATCAGTACTCTCTTTTTATGTACTGCAGTAAGTGCTGAAGGCTCGGTTCCTCACCACAGTGTGTGGGGCTCCTCTGGACCCTCCGTGAGTGGGCTCCAGCCCTGTGTTTTCACCTTGCACCTGCCTGTGTCAGCAGGAGTGCTGCGAGTCTACACAGAACCTTGCCTGAGTCCCCGGCTTCTGTGGTGACTCCACCCAGTACGTGACTGCAAGGTCCCACAGATCCAGGCTGACCAAGCCCAGTGCTGTACTGGAGTCTGGAGTCTCTTTTCCTTATGATAGTACTCTTGAATAAAATCATTTTGTTTTCTTTAACATAGTCTATTGTAGACAGTAAAGCTGTGTGTTCAGATGACACCAAAACAAATTCAATGAGACAAGGAGGCATATCGGGGAAAGTCTTTCAGGTCGCTACACTGTGATCATTCCCAGTGAAGAATGAGAAGTTGGGAAATCAACTGTCATTGTTGACTGTTCAGAAGCACCTGAGATATAATGAGGAAGACAAGCTGGGTGTGGGGTGCATGCCTGTAATCCCAGCACTCGGGAGGCTGAGGCAGGAGGATCATTGCAAGTTCGAGGCTAGCGTGGGCTACAAAGTGAGCTCAAGGCCAGCCTGAACTGCGTAGTGAGACCCCGTCTCAAAACAAAACAAAACAAAATACTGAGGAAAGCAGTGCATTTTTTGGCTTCTGTCTTTTCAGTGTTTGGAGTATTAATTTGCCAGTCATCTATTTACTCATTGACTATGTTTTTGGTGTAGAAGTACTGAACGCCTCTGTGCTAATTGCCATGTAAAAGGAGGACACTGTACCAGAAAAGACGCGTGTCCAACTTGAACTTGCGGCCAGTATAGAAGATGAGCTTTTATTTACCAGCTGAGAGAAAATCATGGCAATAAAATTAAGATAAAAATCCATGCAAGAAAGATAGCAGGAGTAATGAGCTTGAACACCAGAGAGGCACCTGAAGTCCCCTGTGTGGCTGCCGATTACCCTACCCTCGGCAGACTTAGGGGTAACCAGGGAGCGCTCGGAGAAGTGGGTGCATGCGCAGGAGAGCACATTTCCGGGGGAAGATGCGGAGGGCGGGGTAGCCCAGGTGCTTCCTACGGTTCCTCCTGACGTTCCACATCTGGATAGTTTAGGCACAGATCCCAACTACTGTGCAAATTCCCGAAGGCTTCTGCTCTCTCAGGGGTTGTGGGCTTTGCTGGTTCTTCAAACCTTCCCCAGATGTCTAGAATTCTTTTAAAAAATGCGTTTTGAACAGGATAACACAGCTATGGGTGGGCAGCACTGATCACAGTGGGCTCTCCCTCCAGGGCTCTCCATTCCTACCAGATCTCCTCCAGGCGTCTCTGATCTTCCCTTTCCACACAATTTTCAAACTCACGAACATCCTCTCTCTAAAAGACCCTGTATTCGAACTCAACCGTTATGAAAGTACCCTTCCAAATATGGTGGTATTCTCCCTAAGTAGTGTTCTAGTGCTGAGTTTGGTGGACACATTTCTGAATCATGGCACAAAAATAAAAATAATGCTACCACATTGTTGTGAAGCAGCAATAAACACTGGTTCAAATTTGTGCACAGTGTGTAGGGTCTACAGCTACCAAACTTTTATATTCAGCTTTATTTTGTAGTCAACTAGCATTTTCAGAAGACTGGTATATATGTGTGGACCATTTACTGATACAGATCTGGTCTCCTTTGGTGGAGCGAGTCGTCGCCCTGGGACTGCTCATCTCCCACTGTTCGCCAGGGATGTGGTTAGGCAAGTGGGCATGCTGAAGTGGGCACTGGAGAGGATTGAGTGGCGAAAGGTCTGGGGGTTCACTGCCTCAGGGACACTTCCTCTGGTCCAGGGATGGGAGAGAGAGAGAAGAGCTCAGGAGAGACGAGGTGAAGGTCAGAGCTTTCGCTACTGAGGAACCTGGGAGGGGGCAGAGAAACCTGTGTGTTTTAACGACAGAGACGAAAACACGAAAAGAAGTAAAGAAAGAGCAGATGATGCAAGCCACACTCCAGGAAGAGGGGAGCTAGCACGCCAGGAAGCAGACATCGCTCTCGTGCAGGAGGTGAGCCTGTGCAGCAGAG